GCCCGCCGCCCGCCCCCCCCCCCGCCGCCGTCAGCTCCAACGCGTCATCCGAGCGGGCCAGCAGTCCGTACTTCTTCCTCGGGGACGTCTTCTTCACGCTACACCAAAAACATCCACCCGCGCGCGCGAACACACACACACACACACACACACACAGCACAAACGCGTAAACGTTACAAAACGTATTGGGAGAGCCTTCGGCGTCGCGAGTCGTCCGCGCAGTGACGTCACGATGCTCACCGCACGGCCCTGATGAGGAAGTAAAGCAGGCCGAAGGCCGTGATGGCCACCAGCACGTACAAGGCTCGCTGCACCATCGAGGAGTCAGCGTTGAAGCCGCTCAGCGTCTGCCCTTCCTTTCCGGCACCTCCGGCGGCGGCGGCGCCGCTACTGTTGCTGTTGCTCGAACCCGCGGCGGGGCCGCTCGCCTCGTGCGCTTGCGGCGCCCCCAAAACCGCGAGCGTCCGCCACACTGGAAGAAGAACGAGCAGCAGGGGAAGAACGAGCGCCGAGCGCGCGGTCGCCGCCATTGAAACGAAAGGCAACTTGGAGGGAAGCCGAAGAAAGAAGCCTTCTCCCGAACTCGACTCGCCGGTCTGCTTTGTTGACAAAGTACGCGCCGACCAGGAAGTGGAGTGACGCTGCGCGCGCGTGACGACTTCACGTCCAAACGTCGGTCGCGCTCGAACGCCGCGCCCCTCGGTGGCCACTCGTAGGCAGCACGGCGACTCTTCATCCAATGATTCTTTGGAGAACGCTCCAGCAATCGAATAGGCGTTTACCGTAGAGCATAAACCATTCACTTGAAGTGAGATCTGTGTGCGACGCAATGACGTCACGAAAACGTGGGCACGCGCGTCGCTGCGGGCTGAGTTTTGAGTGACGGCTCGAGCGTCCAATAGAGAGGCTGAGATTGGCCCGAGTGCCGTCGGGGGTGGGGCCGGGAGATTACAGCCGCCGCCGCAGATCACAACACATCACAGCACGTCAAAAACCTTCAGAACCGTTTGGACCGTCGACGTTTGTTGTCGGATCCCCTTTCCAAATCCGGGACCGAGTCGGATTCGGTTCGGGGGCTTCTTCGCCGCGACGGGAGCGATCATGGCCCGAACGCGACCAGCGTTCGAGCACTCGCAGGCCTGATGAAGGTTTAGCAGGTTCCGGACTCTGGTAACGGATTGGAGTATATTAAAAAAAAAGAGAGAGAGAGAGAGAGAAGGACAAGGAGGAAAAAAGGTCCGTGTCGGTTGTGCGTTTTGGCTCTTCAACGGAGCGGGAGGTGGGATTACAACCCCACCCCCTCCCTTCCTCCCTCTAATCCGGTTCTGCCCCATCTGGACTCGGGAGGGCGCGCGTGATCGGAACCAGGCGCAGACGCAGCCTCAAGATGCCGACGTCCCATCCCGGTTCGGAAGCGGTGCCGGCGGACTTCTGGGTGGACGGCTCGCGCAGGGACGGGACAGTGGAAGAGTTCTACACGCTCGGCTCCGAATTGGGCAGGTCGGTTCCGGCGCGCGACAAAATCGGAGCGTCGTTTTGAGCGGGGGGGGGGGCGTTCGCGGTCGCACGGCGAACTTGCGAAGGCCGCGAAAAAGCCGTCGTGACGCGGGACGGCAGCACGTTCAGCAAGAACACAAACGCCAAAACAACACCCGAAAAACGCAAGGACAACACCCGACGAGCTGCTCTGCTCTTTGTTGAAGGAGTCCTCAAGTCGAGAGCCAAGAAACCTGGAAGAAGAGCAAACAAAAGCACGAAACAAACGTGACGCCGTCCACCCGAGCATCGGGGCTCATGTCGTCGAGGGTTTAGTTGAGTTTTTCTCTCGTTCTTGTTTGCGCTCAACCAACGTGTGACGTCACCGAAACGCACAAATGTGTTCGCGCGCCTGTTAGCAGGTGTGCTGTTGCCACGGAGACCGCAGGCAAGCCCGGCGGACGCCATCCGTTTCCTCCATCTGGCACAAGCACACTCGCGCGCGCCCGCGCATTACGTCCAAAACATACACCGGCACCGGGTTGCATAGTCGCGGCGCAACACATGTTGACACACAGCAGAATGTTTTGTGCTTTCAGAGGCGCGACATCAGTGGTGTATCGCTGTGAAGAAAAAGAGAAAAAGAAGTCCTACGCCGTCAAAGTTCTCAAGAAGACGGTCAGTGGTCGCCGCCTCAACTTAGCGGCTCGCCGAGCCCGTCGGCTAACTTACGTGACTTTGCTTGTTTCCCCGAGCCGCAGATCGACAAGAAGATCGTCCGGACGGAGATCGGCGTCCTGCTGCGTCTTTCGCACCCGAACATCGTAAGTGTGACGTCGTCCGTCGCCCGCCGCCGCCGCGTCATCCGACCCGTGACGCGGCTGCTTCCCGTTCGGTCCTCAGATCCAGCTGAAGGAGATCTTCGAGACGGACACGGACATCGCTCTCATTCTGGAGCTGGTGACGGGAGGCGAGCTCTTCGACAGGTTCGTCTCACCCGACGCGTCACTCGGCGCGGCGCGTGAGTCGGTCGCATCGCGTTTCATTTGATGCGTCGCTCGCAGCTTTCTCCCGAAAGGCGTCCCACGTCAGATGGTGGCGGGTGACCCGCGCCCTTTGCCTTTCAGGATCGTGGAGCGCGGCTACTACAGCGAGAGAGACGCCGCCCACGTCATCAAACAGATCCTGGAGGCCGTGGCGGTAGGACGTCTGCTTTGCTCTCGCTTCGCATCAGCTTCTTTTTTTAACCCCCGCCGCTTGAAAAAGAAACAAGGACAATCCTTACAATACGGTCACTGCTGGGGGGGGGGACAGCAGCCACCCCCGCCCCTCGACGCCCGGGAGCCGCGTTTTTGCACTTTTGGCTTGAGTTGGGGCAAAAATCTGAAAAGTTGTGGGATGAACACGCTTGACGTCATGGCAACACGGCTCAGGGTTGCACTTTGGACGCTTGAACATTTTGACCCAAATACTTTCACTTTTACTGTCGTAAATATCGGTGACCCCCAATCGTCAGTCCTGGCCCTGAGAAAAAAAAGGTGCAATGACAACGCTTGTCATTGCAAAGTCCCGTTGACAGCGATTCGCGCGTCATTCGCATCAGCGACTTTCTTCCTTTGCGGACCTCAGAAGTCACCGCAAAATCGGCGGCGCAATTTGTGCTCGGCCGGGCCGAGCGATGTTGAGTGACGCAGGCGCCGCCTCGCTCGGCTATCGCTAATCTTTCCTCAGTCGCGTTAGCGGGGTTAGCATTTAGCATCTTGTCACGAGGAAGCGCTCGGCCGCTGCGTGTCCGCCGTGCGCTGCTGCTGCTGCTTCTTGCTGTTGTGTCGTCGTCGCATCAAATGTTTTTACGTAACATCCAGCTGCTCATCAGATTAACGTGACGCCGGATTAAAATATCACACACACACACACACACACACAGACACACACACACGTCGGAGATGACCTGGATCCCGCGTATGTGTGTTGTGATGAGCACGACTCATTTGCGTCACGTCAGAAAAAAGTCGAAATCTTTCTCTGACTGGGTGTGTTGTTAGCATTAGCATTACCTTGCAAACTGTGTTACCATCACTGGCGCACCATACGTGCTTGAGTCCCTTTTTTTTCTTTTCACTTGAATTGCAGTTGGATTCGTAGTTTCGGTGCGTTATGCTTTTTTCTTTTTGTTTTTATGAAACACTTCATTGCACTTCCGAAAATGTTTTGTCAATTTTGTTGTCGTTATCGTTGATATTCATCAAGAATCTGAACCTCGGTGCCTGTTTGTGCGTGTGCGTGTGTCAGTATCTGCACGAGAACGGTGTGGTGCATCGCGATCTCAAGCCAGAGAATTTGCTCTACGCCGACCTCTCGATCGATGCGCCGCTCAAGATCGGTGAGTGACGCCTTCGGCGTCCCCGCCGGAGCCGCGCACTCGTGGCGTCAACCGAGCGTGTGCCGCGCTGTGTTTCAGCGGACTTTGGTCTTTCCAAAATCATCGATGAGCAGGTGACCATGAAGACGGTGTGCGGCACGCCGGGATATTGTGGTGAGTACGCCGTATGATGGATGATGCTCACGCACCCGTGCTACTTGGCCTCCGCTTCGAGGATTTGGGGGCTTAAGATCACAGATCGGACGGCGCTCGGCCCACGCCTCCAAAACGCACCTCGCCTCGGGCTAGCCCGCCGGCACGGCGCCTCCTTGTAGGCTGTGCACATCACACGGATAGAGATGGAAGCGGGGGAAAAGTCCCCATTTCACAGCCGGCATCTGGACCGACCGGGGCTCCAGAGCGCCTCGCTGTCGGCCGCAAGCGCACGCGCCTCAAGTCACGGTGAGGAAGGCGGAAGCCCGAGCAGGAGAAAAGCCAGAGAGATTCAAAAATACAAAATCAAATCAAAGTCCGGAGCGACGGAAGCCGTGTGGATTGGGGTCTCACTCCGGCGTGGCCGCTCTAGAGCGCCTCATCGTCGCGATGTGGAGATCCCAACCCGGCATGAAAACGATACCGGACCGAGGGGCGGCCATTTTCCAGGCCGTCAAAGCGCCATTTGATTGACGGTCCCCAGTTGAGCGAATCGCGCTTCCGGCGCATTCGGCGGACGGCTTTTCCTTTCATTTAGCGCGCTTGGCCGTTCCGTTTCCTTCCCACGTAGCGGGCTCGTTCACCACACGCGTCTCCGCGCCGTGTGAAAGTGGCAAAACGTTTTGATTTTCACCATCGGGCAACTCGAAGCAGGGAGGGCCGTCGAAGAGAGGAGCCGCGCCGCCGCGCAAGTTGCCTTGATGGAGTGGCGCCTTCACCGGTTGCAGGCGTAGTTGTTGTGCGCCGTTGTGAGTGTCACGTCACGTCACGTCATGTCACGTTTGTTTGTCTTTTGAGCTCCTGAGATTCTTCGAGGAAACGCTTACGGACCAGAAGTGGACATGTGGTCTGTGGGCGTCATCCTCTACATTCTGTGAGTCCGCGCACGCACACGCAGGCGGACATGCAGGAAGACGCGCGCACAGCGCAACGGGGCGGTGACGCGTGTGGGCCGGTTGCAGGCTGTGCGGCTTCGAGCCCTTCTTTGACGCGCGGGGGGACCAGTACATGTACACGCGCATCCTCAACTGCGACTACGAGTTCGTCTCCCCCTGGTGGGACGACGTCTCGCTCAACGCCAAGGACCTGGTGGGTGGCCGCCTCCTCCGTCCACTCATCAGTCAGTTCGTCCAGTGGCTCGTCCGTCCAGACGTCCGGTCATCCATTTGTCCATTTGCACGTCTGTCAATTCATTCAGTCATCCGTCATCCATCCCTGCATCCGACCGTCCGCGCAGCGGTTCGTCTGTCTCCCCGTCCGGTCGTCAGTTTCCCCATCCCTGTCCATCCATCCATCCATCCATCCGTTCGTCCGTCCATCATGTCAGCAATGCTAACGCCGTCGGAGCGCGAGCGCGAGAGTGAGGCCGAAGCCATGCGTGTGCGTGCCAGGTGAGCAAGCTGATCGTGTTGGACCCGGCCAAGCGTCTGAGCGTGCGCCAGGCCCTGCAGCACCCGTGGGTGCTGGGCAAGGCGGCGCGCTTCTCGCACATGGACACGGCGCACAGGAAGCTGCAAGAGTTCAACGCCAGGCGCAAGCTGAAGGTGAGCCCGCGCGCCATCCTAACATGCCGGGCGTCGCGTCAATCGCGCGACGCGGTTTCGTGCCGCTCGACTGGCGCCCGCCCGGCGTGCGGCGTCATCGGGTGGCGCCCCCGTGCCGGTCGCGTTCCATCACGCGTGAGCATATGCCGCGGTCTGACCGGCAGGCGGCCATGAAGGCGGTGGTGGCGACCAGTCGGATGCACGAGTCGTCTCGCCGCCGCACCGACAGCTGCGAGATTCCCGCCTCGGGGACGTCGCGGCAGAGCAGCGTGCAGCGGGACCTGCCCCCTGAGGCGGCCGCCCCCGCCCCCAGAGACGAGGGGGCCGCGCCCTCAGAGAACCAAAGGGAGCAAAGTAGCCCCCCCGCTGCCGCCCCCGCCCCCACCAGGCCGCCGCTGCGGACCGACGCCCAGCGGCAGGCC